GGCGCACGCCTTTAATCCCAGCACTCGGGAGGCAGAGGCAGGTGGATCTCTGTGAGTTCGAGGCCAGCCTGGTCTACAAGAGCAAGATCCAGGAAAGGCACAAAGCTATACAGAAAAACCCTGTCTCGAAAAATAAAATAAAATAAAATAAAGAAAGAAAGAAAGAAAGAAAGAAAGAAAGAAAGAAAGAAAGAAAGAAAGAAAGAAAGAAAGAAAGAAAGAAAGAAAGAGAGAGAAAAAAAGAAAAAAATATCCCCAGGAAGCTGTTTCAGAGATCTTGGAAAATAGTCTCTGGTCTGCTCTATGAAAAAAAAATAAAAGATCATATGAGCAGAGGGAAACAAAGAATAAAAACCCAGTTTAATCTGAGAGGTGGAGCCCCAAGACCACTGGAGAGGGCCTAGGAGAAGGAGCCTAGCACAAGCCTGTGAGCACTTTTTGTAGGTCAGAGTGGGAAGGTAGGGGCATAAGCTTCGCCAGAGCCGGAAACCTTTTCTGGATAAACTATGTTTTGAAACTGCTGGGTGTAAGATAAGTCAAATTGTCTGACTTTGCAAAACCCGCTGTCCTGGGCCTGTGGTGGGCGCTAGCTGCTCTCTGGGAATTCCATGTTCAGCAGATTTCCTGGAACCTTGGCTTTGTTTTTTTTTTAAGGGCTCCAGCTTTCAGTGTAGTTTTCTTTATGCACTTAGGTCTCTCTGGCCACTGGTGCTCTTAGCTCATGAGTGTAACACTCTAGACAAACCTTATGTATCGAGTGTGTTACTTTTTGTTAGTTTCATTTGAATCAGTTGAATGGATGGAGGACCCCAGGGGAGGTCAGAGCAAGAATCAAGTAAGAACGGGCATACCTGAATTAAAGACTCTATGAATGGGGAAAAGATCAAAGCTGGGTTCTGCTGAGAGTCTGGTCCTAGCTCTGGTTTTATGCTGGTGTTCAGGTTTTAGGACCTGTATGACTTCTCTTCTGGGATTTCTGAAGGCATTTCCCAAATGAAATCCAGTTCCATCCCTGGAAAATTGCTACTTGGCTCAAATTCAGCCAGAAATAGTTCCAGCCAACCTGGTTTGGTAGCTTTGGATTTAGATGAGGTCAAAGTCACCTTATCCTCAGGATTAAAGGGGGTACAATGTTTCTGACAGTACAAAATTTATCAGAGAGACTATCCCTCCCTGGGCCCTCTTACATAACTGTCCTAAGTGAATGTAACAGACCCCCAGGGCTGCACTGAGTGAGTGATGCAGAAAGTACCCATCGGGAGGATGAAATGTTTCTCATTGTAAAAGAAGTGCTTCCACAGTTGGGCACTGACCTAACCGAGGACATTTCACATGTGAAAGAAAGAAAGGTGCAGCTCAGTCTGGGGGTTCAGGGCCTTAGGCTGGCTGCAGGCAGCTGCTGTCGCAGAGAAAGGAGGTTGCTGAGGCAGAGCAGACGCCTGACTCAGCTGTGCTCGACTTCTCATCCTTTCCCCATTCCCTGTGTAATCAAGCTCCGCTTGAATGTGGCCCCCGAGAGACGCAGGAGTTGCCACATGTACTTACAGAGACCACAGAAGTGCTCAGATAACCAGTCAGACACTTAATGGACTCAGAATAAAGCAAATATATAACTTGTACCTCTAGAGTCACTAACCGCCCTGGTTTATTCAGGGTGCTTTTTCCAGACATGGCATTCTCAGTGCTAAAACCAAGACTCTCTGGGGCAAAACGGGGTCACACAGAGACCTTATAACCTAAACAGAGAAGTAGCCATGTCACAATGTCACAGAAGAAGTGGTTGGCTCAGCCGTGAGCATCAGGAACAGAACAGATGAGGGAGGCTGCAGAGCCTCGGGGCCTCCTGGAAGGAACGGAGGTTTAGAACTCCAGAAGGGATTCTGCTGAGTCAAGAAAGAAAGATAGGGAAATAGCTCAGGTATTGGGATAAAAAGAAGTCCAGTTCTGGAATCTGGTTGAAGCTTCTTGTAGACAGAGAAGCAGTCATCCAAGCACAATTAATAACTTCTCAGGGCTTTCCCCATTCCCACCAGTTTTCTAGGAGCCTCACCAGGAACCTCATGTACAGGGAAAAGATGTGTTCTAAACCTCTGGGAAAATGAGAGCCACCTCTTCACATTATAATGCCAGCCAAGGCAGCTCCAGAGCCTCCTCACTTTCCTTACTTATCAAGAGACAAAAGGAAAAGTTTCCTTTAAAGTGTAACTTGACAGCTACCAAGGTACAATATGAGGCTAAGGGGAGTATGAGGCTCCCTGGGGAACCAGTACCCACACTGCAGTGTTGTGCTCTTTTTCTGAGACCTCTCTCTTTCTCAACCCTTATGCATAGACCTACATTAAAATTTTAACCCCAACTATGCTTTCACAAAATGACTAGCCCTGAAGTCCTTTCTGCATCAAAACCATAGAGTGTAGTTTGGTCTGATTGAAGTCCCTAAATGTCCAAGGAAACTCTGCAGGCAGCTGAGGGTGGTGGCCCTGTGGAGGCGATGTCTCTGTCCCCTCTCTACTGACAATACCATTCTTAGGATGAAGCTCTACCAATGTACCTGTGACCCAAAAGCCCTACTGGGGGATCTAAGAAGACTAAAATAGGGCAGTAGCCTGCAAAGGAAGTTGAATTTGACATAGCTTCAATTCCATTTTGACTGGATATACAGTTGACAAAGGAAATGATTATGGAATCAGAATGGATCTGCTCAAGGTTTTGTCTGTTGGTGATTGGCAATAAATTTACTTCTGATATAGAATGCTATGTGTTGTCTTTATCTAAGTTGATAGTGCATTACAATTTTGTTGTTGTTGTTGTTGCTGTGTAAGGAATCAAGTCCAAGGCCTCAGTGAAATACTCTACTGTTGAACCATGCCAACAGCCAGGACCACAGATAACACATGTGTTTTGAAGAATCCTATTGTCTCTTTCTAGACTGAGTTCATTAACTTTGCAGGAGGTCCAAATAAACAACTTTTGAGAGTTCTCACATTGTATGCATTAACTCTCATGTAGATTCTCTTATAGAAATTCATATGTTGGCCTGGAGAGGTGGCTCAGTAGCTAATAGCTACTGTTGTATACTGGTGAGGATCCGAGTTCAGATCCCAGCACCCATTTACTAAGCCCATCACCTGGTGCATGCCTTGAGCGGGACAGAAATAGGATTTATGAGGCTTTTTGGCTTCCAGCCTAGCCAAGTAAAGAGAAGCTCCAGGTTCAGAGGAGGGTTCTGCCTCAAAAGAATAGATGGAGATAGAAGAGGATGCCTGAGACCCTCCTCTGGATTTTGCTTATGTAAGCTGGTTCACACATATGCATATACTTACACAGACATAATTTCTAAGCTCATATATTTATTCTTGTCTTTCAAGGAAAAAATATCTGACTGGGTAGATGTTCTTTGAAAGAAAGCACTGAACCAAAAAAAGAAAATAAATGCTGGATATATGATTATATACTTCTATCCAAAAATATAACGAGAACTTAAATTGCTAACTCAGGAGCAGGATCCAGTCTATTTTGCAGTTTCTCCGGAGGGTAATTTCACAAGCTTTGGTTAGCTTGTGCAGTCATTTCTCTCTTTCCACTCCCCATTCTATCTGGAATAGATACTGGTTTTGCTTCCTTATTTATGTGAGGGAAGTGGACTGGAAAGAAGAAACATCACTCGACTGCTGTATTATTTTTAGTAGTTTATATGGGTCTGTTAAAGACAGGTATTGGTTGTAACAAAATAAATTCAATCTGGCCTCTAAATGGCCTTTTAGTCCCCAGCTTCCAGACCCACAAATGAATGAATCCTCTTTAGATTCACCAGTTCTAAATTTGGGAGTTTGGTCCTCCATGCTCTGGAAAAAAAATGATACAGGGTTGATTTTATAAGCATGAGCATATAAGCTGGTATATGGACCCTAGCCTTTTCCTTTGTCCAGCATGATATTCTTGGAGAAATTCCAATTTCTTTATAGTCTGGGAGTCAAAGGGGGTACACTAGTGTCCCTTGAAAATATCTTCATTCCTGCAAAGATGGTTACAATGAGATGCTAATATATCAGAGGCTTACTGTAGTTAATGTGATACTGTTGTCAGTCATCAGAAAAATAGAAAAAAGACAGATGCTATTGCCCTTTGATGAGAAACATCTCCTATACAGGCTCATGTATTCGAATACTGGTCCCCAGCTGTGGTGCTGTTTGCAAAAGTTATTGAACCTTTAGGAAAGTTATGGGGCTTTGTTACAGGAAGCTTGTCACTGGGGTGGCCTTTGAGGCGCTACAGAGACCCCCTAGTTCCTTCTCACTCCCAGCTTTCTGCTTGCAGGGGAAGTGCAATCAGCTGGCCTCGAGCGAGCTCTTGCTGCCAGGCCTGCCCTTGACATGATAGACTGGCTCCCCTTGGAAGAATAGGGCAGAAAAAATCCTCCTTTTCAAAGCTGCTTTTCATCAGGGTATTCTATCATAGCAACAGAAAAACAACTAATACAGATGTTTTGAGAGCAAAGAAAAATAAAGCTTGATTCATACTGCTGTAAATAAATATAGATTGAGTATTTTATTTTAGCAAAGAAACATGAAGGAGACACTGTGGCCAGAGGCTTCTTGCCATTCAACTTGAAGCATCATGGGAGGTTTTAAATGAGGATGGCAGAGAAGAGGAGACCACACCTGCATTAGGAAAACACAGACTTTTTCAAGACACCATTGTTGATTTCTGCT